TCTTTGTTTGGAGATTTTGGATTTAATCATTCTTGTACTTAAATCATACCAGGGTTATAATGGTAATTTGTTGTCATTCAGATAACAGTTACCAAACAACATTATTTCATTCAGCACTTAACCATTCTGACCCTTTTAACCATTCTGACCTCTTAACTATTCTGCACTAAATCATTCAGCAACTGCCAAACAGCCCCTTAGTCTTTTTTCTGCTAGCGTGACGTGGCTATTACCTATAAATAGGTTGGGTTATCCTCATTTGTGAATAATCCCAATTTCAAAAATAAGATTCCTTCGATTTCCCGGTTCTTCCAAAATTCTCTCTACATCGTTTTCTCTAATTTATTGACACAACCTAGTAAAGATGACAACAGAAGCATGCCTCATACGCTATCTGCAGGTACAGATTTGAGGCACTTAAGAAAAATCTTGGAACGTTTTTACATTAGAACATGTTCTAAATAAATCACCTACTTTGTTTTGTGTAACATGTACCATCAGAAAAAAGCTCCAGTGAGTGAAATATTGACCTAAGATCTGGGATTAACACCCTCCCTTTTCACATTGCAATTTGATTTAACAAGGCTGAACAAAAAAGATGATATCTCAAGGTCAAGAACTGAAGTTCCAACCGCAGATGGAACTTTACTAGATATATCAAAGAGAAAAATTGCACAAGATATATCATATAAACCCAAAACGATTTCACTTAGAAAGATGATTCAGAGAGAAAAATTGAATAACAGAAAATAAACACACCTTGAGCATGTCAAGCCACTATCACAGGTTGATATTTCTGGTTTAGACCCAAAAATCATTTTGCTTTCTCCAGGTGATCGATCTGATAAGGCAGAGCATGCAAAGCTCTTGCCAATATTAGAGCTCGAGGTAGGTAACTTGCTTTCACGAATTATGTTGCCATCTGATAAAGATTTCTTATGCAATGACCTACACCAATATGGCATCAAAGTTATCAGAATCTGGAAAAGAACATTCTAATATCAGACGCAATGAAGCAAGTCCCATAAAAAACAAAGATGAGCAATCACAAAAGAATTCCAGGCAGATGTAGCTCCACAGTTCAAGAACCATAAAATCTGACAGAAGCAGTTGTTCGGGGCCAGTAATTCCAATAAGTGAAGTTGATATTTGAATATTTTAAACTTTCAACATTATTTTTGGCAGCAAAAAAACATAAGCCACAACGCTGGAAATTCAAGTAAATACACTTCATTAAGAAGTTAAAAGAAAGAATAATCTACTCCATTCATTCTAGCTTCCATGGTTTTAAAAAGCGAACAAAGCGTATGGCTCATAGTGCGGCTCGAGGCACGCCTCAATGCGAAGCGGTCCAAAATCACACCTAAGACGGCGCCTCTCAAGCCTCAAATGAGGCATATGCCTTGGTCTGAAATATCTTTCTTCCATGTTGGGCATGCATGACGTACAATCTTCTATATTCTTTCCTCATCTCACTCTTTCAAATCTTGAAGATTAATCCACTGTCGTCTCACATAAAACATTCTTTCGACTATTTAATATTTCCAAAACAGATAAGAACACATATTGTTAGTGGACGGAAGCATCCAGCATTTTATGCCCCCCGATAATAGGTTATCAGTGGTGAAAAACCCAGCACTCTCCATTGAGGTTCTACCGTACGTGACCTTTTCCCTGAGGGGAAGGAACTGTGTGGTCCCTACATTATAAACTTGTAGTCGAGCAAACTTATTTCCAGGTCAAACTTGTCTGTACATTAGCAAAAGCGTAAGTAGATAACTTCCATTTATATTACCTCCCATCTTTATCCACCGCTGAGCATCCATTCCTATATGCACTGAAATGCTGGTCTGAATCCAGCTCCCATACTTCAGGTTTACCATCCTGTGGCTGAAAATGCCCCAAAAATCTGCTTATACAAAGTGATCCATCTATTAGTTGAAAAAATAATTGTGGAAGAACATACAAAAATAAAATGGTAAGGATATGCAAAATAATATGAAAATAATACTAAGAGAATGGAAGAACCAACCAAATGATGCTTCAAGGTAAGGAAACAATGTCCACTTACACATTAATGGCATTTTGTTTCTCTGCATCCATGTAAGCATTGTTGTAGTACCTTTGGAGAGTTCTAAAGAATTCCTGCGACTGCGTTGCAGCTTTCCACTGACCCCTTCGCTCAGAAAATACCTATTTAAGAGGTAGACAGTGAAGTGGGTGGCAGGTGCATTACAACCAGACAGAATAATAATAAAATGATTCGTTCCAGGATATAGAAAAAACACAGATGGTACTAGACTCTACTTTATGTGATCCAAAGTTTTAGAACAGGAACAGAATCTTGAAAAAGATCCAACACGTACTCGTCAAGAAGCTATGCTGTTACTGCGGTCAGAATACAAAATATCGGTCAGGACCGATATTCGATATATCGGTTATATCGGTGACATATCGATGATATATCGTCCAAAATAGCGGTTAACATAATATTTCTTAGAATTATATATATAATATGCATTAATTAGAGTTTAGAAATATAGTTTCAAAATTAAAACATCACATCATCTAAAGTGTTCAAAAACGAGCTAATCGCAAGCAATAGATTCGACATCCGAGTCAACATCATCCAATACATTCACTTCTTCGTTTAGGTTAGCTTCCCAATCTTCCTCTTCTTCCCCTTCATCTCCAACATGATGATGATGATCATCATCATCTCTATAGCGCTCCCTTTTACTTCTTGTACTTGGTCCAACTTCTTGAGAAAAGAAGCCAAACCATGACTCCGTGAGAAGTCTGAAGTCGTGAATCGTGAAGTGAACTCGGTGTCTGTAAAGTGTGAAGTCGTAAAGATGAAAAGAAAGGAAGAAGACCGTTGGCGTGAAGGAGACGTTATAAGCCAGACTCTTAATTTGAGACCTAATATATGTTACCAAGCTCAAAAAACTAAGCCCATGAAAATAACAAAAGCCCAAATAATTGAACCTTAAAAAATCGATATATCGGTCCGATATATACATCAAAATATCGGTAAATATCGGGAAAAATCGGAAAATATCGGCGATATTATCGGGGGCGATATTTTGACCGATATTTCTGCAGCGATATTTTGTCTAGGTCCGATATCCGATATATCGCCAATATATCGACGATATATCGCGATTTTTACAACATAGTCAAGAAGATAGTAATGAAAAGACTGTAATTCCCAAAGAAAGATAAAAACCCTATATATACACAAAAAGATCCCTATCCAAATATGTTTCCTAATCCTATTAAGAGCCCACCAAAACTGGAAGACTGAATAAAAGAACATACATAATAGTAATTAAATAAACTTTCTAATCCTCCTATAATTCTACAATCGCCTTCAAGTTGGGTTTGGAGTTAAGTTCTTCGAAAGTTGATCTTGGAAGTGCTTTGGTAAGTACATCTGCAATCAGTAACATAAGCCAGCTCCATCTTCAGCTCCACAACACCACTGTAACCTTTTCTGAAATGAAATATCGATCAATTTCGATATGTTTGGTTCCGTCATGATGTACCAGAATTGCAATGTTGATTGCAGCTTCATTGTTGCTTTTCATTGCAATTGTGCCATTTACCTCTACTTTGAGTTATGTTAATGGTCTTAAAATCCACATTCTTTCGCATATTCCAATAGCCAATGCTCGGTATTAAGATTCAGCACTACTTTTGGATACAACTGCCTGCTTTTTCCTTAAAAATGAACAATACCCACTAGTTGATCTTCTTTCAGTAGACTTCTCAGCCCAGCTAACATCAGTGTAGACTTCTAGCGTGCAATTTGATGATTTCTTGAACCTCAGTCTTTGTCCCAACGCTGCTTTTAAATACCTCGAGATTCGGTTCACAACTTCCAAATGTTCATAGGGCAGTTCATAAGTTGACCGGCAATACTTCTTATGCAATATCTAGACTAGTATGAGATAAGTATATGAATTTGCCTACAAGCCTCCAGTATCTTCCTTTATCAACCGGGACTTCTTCAGTGCCTAGCTTCAGATTTTGGTTCGAGGGCGCAGGTGTACTGGTGGGCTTACATCCTAACATCCCAGTTTCTTTAATGAGTCAATCTTGTACTTCCTTTGAGATATTGCTTCCTTTTTTTGCTCGGGCAACTTCCACTCCCAAAAAATATCTCCAAAATTCCAAGTTCCTTGATTTCAATTTTTTTGCCTGTATCTTCTTGAGACAAAGAATTCCTTCAGTCACTAGCTGGATAACATCATCCATATAAACGATTAAAATAGCAATGTTGCCTCATGGAGAGATTTTATGAATAATATTGGTCAACTTGGCACTAATTATAGTCATTTTTCTTCACGGGTTTACCATATCTATCAAACCATGCACGAAGAGATTGCTTTAGACCAAAATTGAGGAAACCAATTTGTTGTTTGAATTGTTCTCCGATTGAGAAGGAATTTGCATGTAGACTTATTCTTCGAGATCCCCCTTAAAGAAGGCATCCAGTTGGTAAAGCGGCCAATCATAATTCACAGCCAAGAAAAGTAGTACCCGTATTATGTTCAACTTAGCAACGGGGATAAATGTCTCTTGGTGATCAACACCCTTCACTACAAGTAGGGCTTTAAACCATTCCACATTCCCATTTGCTTGATATTTAACTGTTAAACATCCACTTGCATCCTACTGCGTTTTCCCAGGTGTTCAACGAGCGTCCATGTGCCTATTATGTTCAACTTAGCAACGGGGATAAATGTCTCTTGGTGATCAACACCCTTCACTACAAGTAGGGCTTTAAACCATTCCACATTCCCATTTGCTTGATATTTAACTGTTAAACATCCACTTGCATCCTACTGCGTTTTCCCAGGTGTTCAACGAGCGTCCATGTGCCATCACTTTCCAATGCTTGAATTTCTTCTTCAATTGCATGTTTACCTTTACGATATTTGAGAGCCTCGTGAATATTATGGGTAATTTGTATGTTGTCAAGCTATGAAACAAAGGCTTCATAGAAAAGTAATAAATTTCCATATGCCATATATTTTTCAATTGGATGAGTGGTGCAAGTTCGAACACCCTTTCTGAGAGCAAGTGGAAGCAAGGAAGGAATCATCAACTAGAAAATTCTCACCTTCGTAATTTGTTGATAGAATATTTGGATCGGGTGTTTGACATTCTTGTAGATGCATAATGGTCTATGATTGTCCTGAGGATTTTCTTCTTGAATAAACAATGATATCAGGAATAGGCTTGGATTGATCAGAGGTATGTTTAGTTTGAACAGAGTATCAGTGACGAACTTGGGTTGATCATCAGTAACCTCACGTTGATCATTTCCTCGAGGGCATGTTTGTAGTAGGAAAGATGCCTCGGGTGTTTTGATCACTTGAGGGCAGTTTTGTCGTAGGAAGGATGACCAAATCTGAAATTCCGTAGAAGTCCTCTCCCAGAATTTGAGAGTTAGGAAAATAAAATTGATTCAAAGAAGGTGACATCCATGGAGTTGTTAAGCCTTTTGTTGGCGAAAAATAACATTTATAACCCTTTTGATTTGAGGAGTAGCCAAGAAAAACGCAATTGTAGAAGTTGGGGTCTAGTTTTGTTTGATATCGATGGATGTGAACAAAGGAGATACTACCAAACACCTTGAGAGATAGGTCTACTGAGAATGACTTGACATGAGGATAGATACCAATGAGGACTTGACGAGAATATTTAAATTGAAGGACACTGCAAGGCATCCTATTGATGAGGTAAGTGGCAATAAGAATGGCTTCCCCCCATAATCATTTAGGTACATGATTTGAGAACATGATCAACCTTGATACATAGAGTAGGTGATATTTTTCCTCTCGACAATGCCACTTAGTTGAGGGGTATCTACACGTGAACTTATATGAACAATTCCATGCATGCATAAGTATGGGCCAAGTGTGGAATAAATCCTTAGCATTGTCAGTTGTGAGAACTTGAATTTTGCAATAGAATTAAGTAGATATCATGTAATAGAAGGCTTGAAATATGGTTGGTGTTCTAGATTTTTCTTTTATCAAAAAAATTTGTGTGGTTCTTGTGTGATCGTCTATGAAAATAATGAACCAACGTTCCCGATTAACATTTTTCACTCTTGAGGGGCCCATATGTCACTATGAATAATTGAGAAGGGGTGAGAAGGCTTGTATTGCCATCTAGGATAAATGTCACTTATGTTTCAACAATTGACAAATTTCACATTGAACAAGATTCGGCATTTTATGGATAAAGAGATGTGGAAACATATTTTCAAGATAGACAAAGCTCGGATAACCAAGGCAAAAATGCCATAACATAACTTGATTTTTAACAAGATTGGAAAGAAGGGAATTACGACCAACGGTCACTGAGACGACGCATTTTGAAGAGGTTTGGTTTTCTCGAAGCAAGTAGAGACCAATATGTTTTAGTAGCACCAATCACCTTCCCTGAATTCACCTCCTGGAATTCACAAAATTTAGAATAAAACTTAATCACACATTGTATATCTTGTGTATGTTTGTTGATGGAAAGTAAATTGCAGCTCAATTGGGGAGCATAAAGAAGATCCTATAGATGAAGATCTAAGCGTATCAACCCTATTCCAGCAACTATCGAGAGGAATCCATCAGCTATACGAACATATGAGTGGTTTTCACATGGTTTGCAGAAGAGAAAAGCAGTGATATTTCCTGTCATATGGTTAAAAGTTCCATAGAATCTCAGTCTTCCGTTTCATGTGTACCATACAAGCATATGGGAACATACTGTGATGTGCAAACAAACTTGTAAATGGTTAAGGAGTTGAGGATAGTTGGAAAGCATTCCCTAGGAGTTGTTGCAGAGCATCAAGCTGTTCCTTAGTAAAAGAAACAGAATTTGCATTGCTTTATAGGCAGCCACTACATGTGCTCGACTTCCATGGTCATTCTTGCGTGTTGGTCCCCAATTTGCCGATTTACCTTGCAGTTTCCAGCATATATATTTCTTGTAGTGACCACAGCAGGGTCATCCACCCTTTCAACATTTGTTCTCCCATGAAAAATGTTGTGGTGTACATGGTTGATCCTTCTACAATGGTGGGATGTGAATTATCTGACATCATAAGTTTCTTCCCGCTTTCTTCCCTTCTGACTTCAGCACATGCCTCAAGGATTGATGGCAAGGGCTTCATTCTCATTATT